TGTTGTTGTTGATGTTGTTGTTGCTGTTGTTGATTTTGTTGTTGTTGTTGCTGTTGTTGTTGTTGCTGCTGTTATTGTTGTTATTGTTGTTGTTGTTATTGTTGTTGTTGATGCTGCTGCTGCTGTTGTTGATGTTGTTGTTGTTGCTGTTGTTGTTATTGTTATTGTTGTTGTTGTTTTTTTGATATAACTTAACTTATGTTATTGATTAAGTTTTGACAAATTTTATAAATTAAAGCGGGTTAAGGTTAGGTGTGGTTTTAATTGTATTTCGTGTGTGTGTGTGTGTGTGTTGTTGTTGAAAATAATTTATGCTGTTGTGTTTGTGTGTTTTGTTTGTTGCTCTATGACTTTGTAAGATGAGCGTATTTCTTTATTTCAGTTCATGAGTGGATTGTGTGTGAATTGTGTGGAATGTGAGAGGTTTTAAATTTTTGGGATCTCTTGCTAAAGATGTTGGCATTCATATTTTCTTTTTCAATTCACTTTTCTTTTATTTATTCATTTTTGTCCAGTCCAGTTTGTCCATTTCATTTTATTCATTCATTCTTTCTTTCATTCGTTCGTGCAGTCATTTTTTATTATTCTTGTCGTTTCTTCGTTTTTTCATTAATTTATTTCTTCATACTTTCATTCATTCTTTTATTAAATCATCATCATCATCATATTACATTTGAATGAAATTTTGTCGCGGGGCTCCATCAATCACACACGTTGGGGGCGGGAGGTCAGGGTCATCTGTACTCCAGACGACGATGATGATGATGGTGGTGATGAACTTGATGGTGATGATGATGGTGGTGATGATGATGATGACGGTGGTGGTGATGATGATGGTAGTGATAATGGTGGTGATGATGATGATGGTGATGACGATGACGACACCGATGATGATGATGACGATGATGGTGACGATGATCGTGATGACGGTGTTGATAGTCATCAGTTCCATGAAAATGAACATAGATATTCCAATAATGATGAATATTTAAATGATTATATCAATATATGATCAGACACATGCATCTTACGATGTACTCAAAATTAGTTGGGATTTTTTCGCGTTCGAACCAGGAACTTGCAACGCCAGGACCAGCCGACTTGGCCACAACACTATTTATCTTTTTCTCTCTCTATCTCTCTCTCTCTCTCTCTCTTTCTCTCTTTTTTTCTCTCTCTCTTTCTCTCTCTATCCTTTTCAATTTTATTATTCATAAAATACTTTTCTATTTTTTTCTCTTAGTTCTTTGCTATTTTTCCAGAAAAAATATCATTTTGATAATTTTTTCAATCAAATTTTTCCATTGCAGAATGCATTCACTTCTTTCATGATGTTTGCATCGCAAAAAACCCCCTTTTAATGGTTATAAAAAACATCTTATTTGTACACATAAGTGCTGAAAAGATAAAAATTGAGAAAACCGTTTCGATTTTTACAAAAAAAAACAATATTTCTCTCTTGATTGTGTTGCTTTTATTGATTCACATGTGAATATAAAGTTTTTTGATGATTGTTAGAAGACTATTTTGCTCGTACTGAAATTAATCTATTTTGTTTTCATGTCATATTATATGTATATAATATTAATTTAATATTATATTTATTATTATTATATTTATTATATATTTCTATTTAATTTTTATTCAAAACTTTATCCCACAAACACAGTTCCAATCAACAAGGTGCATCTAACGCAGAGCAAAGTCCAGTATGAAGATCATATGCATGTGCAGAATTTTGTCAACAAACACCACCACAACAACAACAACAACAACAACAACAACAATGATAATAATAATAATAATAATAATAACAATAACAGCAATGAAGGTATTAATATTGGCATGAAAAAAATTAATTATAACAACAATATTAACTTAATGGTCTCAAACAACAACAACATCGACAACAACAACAACAACAATAACATCAAATACAACTACAATCACATCAACACAAGCGACGACAACAACAACAACAACAATGCTAAAATTGATGAAGAGGATAGCAACAACAACGTTAATAAAAATCATCAACAAAACAACAAATACAACGTCAACAACATCAACAAATACCACTATAACATTAACAACAATCGCAACAACATCCACAACAATCACAACAACAACAACATCCACATCAACAACATCCACAACAACAAAAACAACAACAACAACAACAACAACAACAACAACGTCCACATCAACAACAACAACAACAAATCGACAAAAGTGTTCAACTTGAACCAACTGCACTCCTCCTCTCTAAGGTGCATAGTGATCGGGGGCTATCCACCGCCCCATGTTGATATCTTTCTCAATGACCTTGATATCACCAAACAGTTCAACTACAAAGCCACTTGTCTAAAAGTTTGAAATTCGTTTAAATTTTGATAAATTAAAAAATAACATAATAATCATGTTGGGCGCCGTGATGGCTCAATGGTTAAAGGCGCCTGGTCTTGCTATTGCAGTGACTGGGTTCGAATACAAAGAGATCCCCGCCTATCACATGAAATGTGTATGATGCGTGGTTTGCACGCGTATTCATATACGCTGTGTGTGTGTGTTTGTCGTTGAAACCTCTGAAGGAAACGCAAGAGAGAGAGAGAGAGAGAGAGTAACCTTTAACCTTTAACCTTTAAATAATCGGCTAATTATTTAATATAAATTTATTCTTTTATTTAATAATCTATTGATTATTCAAAAAGCCAATAAACGTTAAATATAACGCGCCCTAATATTTAAGAATATTTATAAATCTTTTAAAGTAAATAATCATGAAAAGTATTTATTATTCCTTGAATCTTGAACCCTTAGAACAATAAAATTTAGTTAACAAAGAACGCAAAATGCTTCAATGATCAAAAAACTCTTTGATTCATTCTTAAATATGCAACAAAAGGTTAGAGGTTAAAGGTCAATTGCGATCTTCCCAGGTTCATAGGATTCAACCACATGCAAACATCATGTATATACGAACGCATGTGATCTTCTTGTCATAGTCGAATCGAACCTGGTCACTGCGAAACAGTAGCAGGCGACCTTAACCACTAGGCCACCATGGCACTCATGCATATATACAAATACATATACAAAAATTCACACGTTCATATTCATGTATGTATATGGCAATACATTTACGCCCATGTACATATACAAACGTCGTGCATACATATGCGTGATACAAAAACAAATATTTCTGCATATGAATGTGAACACACATGCATACACACATACATATATACATACATATATACACATATATACACACATATTCCATAATACAAACACGCACATAAAACGGTCAACATAATTTATATGCAAGAGTAAGCTTATGAGAAGAAAAAGCTATCCAAATTAACCTCGGGCATACAAAAACACATGTGTGCGTAGAGTCATATTGTATTATTCCACATGCTTCTTACAAAAACCAGCTGCTTTTTTTAATTTTTTTACTTTTTAAAAAATATTTTGCTAACATAAATTATTTTTTTTTAGTTTGTTTGAAGACAAACAAATGCGAGGTTGCGTGTGTTTGTGTGTGTGTGTTGTGTGTGTGTAGTTGTGTGTGTGTGTTGTGTGTGTGTGTGATGTGTGTGTTAAGTCTGTGTGGACATGATGGTAGGCAAACAAAATTGATGTGAATCGAATCATTGTCATTTAGAATGAGCAAAAAGTTTTTTAGACATGAAAGTATGTACAATGTAGACGTTTTTCATGTAAATTTTATTCAGGCATATGTCTGCTAATTTTTTTTTTCCAGCTTTCAAAACAGTTTATCATGCATCTTACTACACACACACACACACACACACACACACACACACACACACACACACACACACACACACATAATCATTTGCATCTAACAACATAAAAATTAACGTAAGAAATGGAACGCGGAAATAAGAAAAGCAGCCAGCCACAGCCATCCAGCTGGCAAACGAGTAATGAAATATGAGGAGCATGTGGTGCTCTGAGGAAATAACAAGAGTAGAGGGAAAAAATTTTTGTTTATTGTAATGAAACGCTGTAAATCGTAATTCGGCATACAATTTGAAACAATAACCACAAAATAAACACCATTAGGTGGTAGACTCGCTAAAATAAAGAGCAATTCAAACGTTTGCTGCACACATGCACTTGCAAGATTGAACTCGTATTTTTAGTAACAGGATTAACATTCATGGCGCAATATATTAATAAAACTTAATTGTCAGTAGTATCAATGATAAACAACCTAAGCATACAAAAGCATTAGACAAACAGTACCGACAAGTTAGCTCAGTCGATAGGAGTGCCATTTGTAATTATGAAATGACGTGTTGCTGGCAGTATTGCATAGTGGTGAACAACAAATTAGAGTCACATTTAATGTCATTTTTATTTGTAAATAACCTCAATGTTTTAAAAAACAACAAAAACATCAAAAACAGCTTGCTAACACACACCACACACACGCACACAAACACAAAGAGACATAAATAGAAAAAAAGAAAAAGAGAGAAAGAGGAAGAAAAAAAGAGAGAGGGAGACATAGACATAACCTCCTCATCATACACCCGATACGAAAAAAGACTCTTTGCATGCAGATTAACAACAAAACATTTGATGCCGGGCTATTAAATATTAAGAGGATTACTTAGGGCTAGATATTTATATGGGTCCCGCTCTGCCTGCAACACCTATCGCTGAATGAGGTGTTGTGGTTTTTAAAACTGGTAAAATATGCCGAGTTACATGAGAAGGTACGTAGATAAGTTTATAGTTTTTTTTAGTCAAGTTTTGTAAGTCTTTAAGTATATTTAGTAACGGGCCATAGCAAAATGATATGGTTTTATTAGACTGTAGTTATTTTTCGTCAAGTAGCTAGAGAACTTGTGAAAACTCGTAAGAAAATAATACTTGAACATCGGGCAATGACAACGATCCAGTTCCATTTTAAATAATTAACTTTTAGGTAATTTTTGTAGAGAAAAAAATCATAGAAAACATCTTTATACACATTGTAATAGGACCACAAAATTTTTTTCAACTTTTCAACGATTTGAAAATTACATACGTACTGTAGTCTATATAAATGAAATGGAACCGGTAAACAGTTAAAAAAAAACCTTCACAAGTAGAACAATGTTATACACTTTCAAAGAATTACCAACAAATCACTCTTCATTTACGTAAAGCTCAATTACAACAACAACGTTAATTACAACAGCATCAATTACATCAACATGAACAACAACACCAATTACAACAACAACAGTAACAACAACACCAATTACAACAACAACAGTAACAACAACACCAATTACAACAACAACAGTAACAACAACACCAATTACAACAACAACAGCAACAACAACACCAATTACAACAACAACAGCAACAACAACATCATCAATAACAATAAAGACATTAATCATACCATCAACCTGATTTTAACAGAAATTATCTCACGAATTAAAACTATAAACCAAATAACACAAAAGGAAGTTGGCATGTTAGCAGCAGTTACTTGCATAACGCCATAGAAACAGTGTCTTACCCTTCACAATAAAATTATTTATAACAAAAAAAAATAAGTTACGTTAATAATTACAATAATAATAACAAAATGATTGTAATAATAACAATAATAATAACGATCCAACGCAATAATAATAACGATTTTAACTGTTTAATCTCTTCTTCTCACCTTGGGTCATGCCTCGGCGATGAAGTCTCTCCGAAGTTTCATCAGTAACGCTCTAGATAATTATTATAATTTTTCAAATTCTCCATTCAACTGGTTTATACAAAAAAAAAATAAAAAAATAAATTAAATCATAATTAAGTCCTAATAAAATAGAGAATGTAGAATAGATAAAAATAATAATAATAAAATTTGGTTATAATGAATTCCAGATGAATAGTCTAGGAAAGAAAGAATAATAAAGAAAATTTTGTGAAAAGTTCAACCGCCTCTGAAGCAACTTTCGTGAAATATTTTAAAGTATATTTTTAACAATTTCTCATTCAATATTTCTCACATGAATAAACAAATTGACACAAGCTGTACGTAAATCTACACATTCCATACATTGAATATGGCAGGCAGGGATCTATTTGCATTTGAACCCGGTTACTGCAACGGCAAGGCCACGTACGTTACCCACTAAGCCACGTCGTATCTCTATCAAAAACAGACACAATTTTCTAATACAAGTAGGAGTTTGAAGATTTACAAGATCATAAGTAAAAACTTTACGGGCAGTTTTGCAATATTCTAGCGGGGAATATTTCGAAGAGTCGCGAGCTGTTATGCCGTCATAAACGTCTACATCCGTAAGATGACGGTCCAGTTGAGCTCATTCTTTGGACTGCAGTTGAGGTGATGGAGAAAATTGAAGATGGAAAGTAAGTGTATTGGAAGAGCGCTGTCCAGTAGGGTGGGCGAAAGTGATGCAAAATGATTTCAACTTGAGACGATTAACCTACGCGTGATGTTGCAAGCTGGTTGGCAAACTTCCTCTGCATCTGAATTTTAATTTAAAAAATTCTGTTCTCTCAAAAAAAATAAAAAATTTTTACAATCTAATAACAACCGATACATAAAAAACAACCAAAATTCATTTATTTTCAAATAAACTTTGAATCAAAGCAAGAACAATAAGATTAACAATGGTAATCAGGAAGATCGCAATAGAAAAACTTTTTACATTACAAACCCAAACCAGCTAGTCTAACCAGTGCACACACACACGCACACTCACACACACGCACAAAACAACCCTAACCCAACTAACCAACCCTCTTAGACCGTAGGCCCTACAGGTCTGATGGTACCCCTGTACATAGTGGAGCGTTACCTGGACCTGTACAACCCAACGGAGAGTGACGATGGTAAGGTTTTAACCTGCAAGGCGTCTGTTGTTGGCCTAAACTCCGTTTACGATCAAGTTCTTCTGGATGTCTCATGTAAGTGGCTTTGTATGGCCGGTGTTTTAAGATTGAGTTTAAACTGATGGTTGTTAGTAGGTTAAAAAGGTTAAAGTCCAGGCCTGCAAAGGTTGAAAGGTTAAAGGTCAATTACACTCTTCCAAAGTTCAGAGGATTCAACGAAGCGCACAGACATCGTATTTGAATACGTGCTAAATGACGCCTTACACACAAAACATGTGATGGGCGGGATCTTTTTGCCATATTCGAACCCGGTCGCTGCGAAACAGCACCAACCGACCTTAACCATTAGACCATTAGGTAAACCGGTTGAAATGGAGATTGTTGGGTTTTCCAATTTTCTGCCGTCTAACTAATTAGGTTTGTTAATTTGATTAGGTTTATCTGTTTGGTTAATTGATTAATTAATTAATTAATTAATTTACTGGTAAATATATCTAATGAATCAGTGGATAAGCTTGTTATTTGTCATCATCACTGAACTTACAAAGGAATTTTTATAAAGAACAAATAAATTAATAGTCTGAAAACAGTCTGAAAATTAACTTCTTTAATAAACTTACTACTGCGTGTTTATTTTAAATCACTGAAAATGGTGAAAAATTGATAAAAAAAATTTGAATATTATTTTCTCAAAATGGTAAAATATTGAAAATTAATTATTCATTAAATTAACAAAATTTTCATTCCTTCAAAACCCAGTCGCACCTTGGTCTGAATGTTACACTCCTCTCCATGACGTCAACATAACCAACGACGACAAAAACTTCCACCTACGTCAAAACTTCCCGCCCTACCAGAATCGCCTGCTGCCGCGTCATCAGCCACAAAGAAGCCACCACCATCACCATCATCAGCATTCCTCAACTCAAGATGATCACCATCATCACCATCCTCCTCATCATCATCATCATCATCGTTCTCGTCATCTCAGCCAGCGTTTTCAAACTAACAACGACAACAACCGCGACCGCAACGACCGCTACCACAACAACGACAACGACCACAACAACAACAATCGGTATTCTTATCGGTCATTTAACAACAAAACCGGCGGTAAAAACATTCACAACAACTTTGAAAGTACGTCATTTTTAATCCTCCTTTTTTGCAATTCATTGAATATACTAGGCGGCGAGATAGTGTAATGGTTAAGGCGCCTGGTACGGATGTTGTAGTTGCTGGGTTCGAACGCAAATGACGTCCTCGCTTATCACATGCAGTGTGATTTTTTTATTTATTTTGAATAACCTCACTGAAACACTCATAGAAAACTACAATTTGTTGAGAAAGTGATCAACACGCCGAAAATTCATACAACACTAACAAAAATAACAACGACACAACAACAACACAAAAACAACAACACAGCAACAACAACACAGCAACAACAACACATCAACCTCATCAACAACGCAACAACAACAACACATCAACAACAAAACATATCAACAACAACAACACATCAACCCCATTAACAACACAAAAAAAACACATCGACAACAACAACAACAAAGCAACCCCTTTAACAACACAACAACAACAACAACAACAACACATCAACCAGACCTACATCAACAACAACAACGAAAGAACTATCACAACAACACCAACAACACCAACACACCAACACAACCACAACAACAACCACAACACAACAGGTGCCTCATTCACATCCACCACCACCTCCTCCTCCTCCTCCCAAGTGTACTCACTCATCCAATGCTACGTACGTGCCAAGCCACCGATAAAAAACATCTGCTGGAGGCTGAACAGCGGCTCCAACAAGCTCTGCGCTGGCTCGGTTTTGGGCGGCCTCTGGACCGTTACCACAGTAAGTAGTGGCCCTAGTTGTTGAGGTGGCTCTAGTTGTTGAAGTGGTTGTAGTAGTTGAGGTGGCCTTAGTTGTTGAGGTGGTCGTAGTAGTTATTGTAGTTGCGACTCTGGTGGCCGGTAGTTTCTTCATTTCTTAGCCTGTATCATTTCATTGTAGATTTAAAATATAATTAACTCGATTAAACTAATATCAATCAAAACCAAATCTTCACACATACACACACGCACACACGCACACACACACACAGAAACAAACACACGCTCACACACGCACACGCGCACACACGCACACACACGCATAAACACGCACACACGCACACGCACGCGCACACGCACACGCACGCAAAGACGGAATCAGGCACATCTTGAAAGTGGAGCTCTTCAGTAGTTTCCTGAATTCCTCGATCTTCGGTAGCTACTGCCTCATGGCTGACAACATCATAGACGTTCTGCACAACAACCTCACCCTGACACCTTGTTAGTTCTTCTTCAGTTCACCATGATGGTCAGAGACACCATTTCTCTTATCGCTATCATCATCATCACCGTTATCAATTTGATCATTACCATGACCTCGCTATCATCATCATCATCACCATCATTAAGATGATCATGATCAAGACCTCGTTATCATCATTGTCGTCGTCAAATTAATCATTTTCAACTTTTCGCAAAAGAAAGAAGAGAATTTTTATAATAAAATTATAAATACAAACATACAAGCATATATACAAACAAACATACAAACATACATGCATACATACATACTTACATACATACATACATACATACATACATACATACATACATACATACATACATACATACATACATGCATATATACACTTTCATTTCGTTTTTTCTTAAATTTTAGCAAGGTTAGACTTTAAAAAAAAACAAATTTTTTTTAAATTTGAAAAAAATAATCATTCGCAAATAAGATATATGGATAGTCTTCAGAGAGTTAGGTGTTGCGTGTTCAAGATTATGATCATTATCACGATGATCTTCATCATCATCATCACCATCGTCATCATCATCGTCACCATCGTCATCATCATCATCATTATCATCGTAGTCATTTTCAAAGTCCTCATTAGTGCACCATCATTATCGGCATCATCATTATTATTGTTATCGAGATATAACTTTGTTAGGTCATCATCATCCTCATCACCATCATCACCTATGGCCTCTCCATCATCATCATCATCGTCATCAC